TGGCTGCTCTCTTTTGCCCATGGAGGGCAGTCAGTCATCATTTTCTTCTGTGTGAACAAGCTAAGCGAGTTGCAGATCTCTCTCATTGGTGAACTTAGTTCGGCCATTAGATTGATTTTGATCAGATGTGCGGGGAATTCACATTCAGCTGAAACCTCTGAAACTGATTCTGGTCATTGACGCGTGACTGGATAAGAATGTCCATCAAGAAACTGTTTTCAAGAGGAGACTCTATTCAACACACTTGCAATGTAAGAATATGATTTATTTACTTACTCTTTTCTAAAACAATTTTCTAAACCTCAAATTTTTTCTAGTTATTATACAAATTGCGAACTGCTGGTCTTATTGAGTGAGCAATAACGGGCGATGTTGATTCGCATGGGACATCAGGTAGTTATAATTAAAGCACTAGAATAAACGAAGTCATGTTTTAGTTCAAATATATTTTAAATCTAAGCTAAAAGAAGATTTTTCTACGTTTAAAGAATATAAGCAACTTTTCAGCCTTCCCCGAAATTCAAGATGCCGGCCAAAAGGAGATTATGAGGGGCAAATTTAAATTTCGATCTGCAAAGTGAAAGCTACCGTTTTATCCTTGCTATCATGCATTTTTGTGATGCTTAATAGTCAAAGATAAATATGTGACATGTTTCGGCTGTTCCCTTCGAGTGAGCCATAAACCCAAATTTTCGGCTCTTAGCTGATGGACTAAGTGATGCTTAGATACATTGCAGGAGTACAACTGTGTCTGAGCATTACTCGATTGTTAATCTCCAAGAAGTCTAAACACACTTTGATCACTCCGCATGGCATTGGCTACTCTGTTTGTTCGAGTTTGACCCCTTCTTTGTTACGGTTAAGCAGAATTGTGCTTGTTGATACTTATCACTGGTCAGTACTTTCTGTCTTCATCAGACGAGTTTGCTTCATTTGGAGCTGTGTTTCATAACATTTGCAAACAAGATAGCCTTGTCTTCTAAGTATGTGTTCTCCGCTACATTCAAAATGAAATGGCATTTCTAGCAACCGTCCTGTATGCTACTACAGGATGATTTATGCTGTTAGTTCTCAACGTTTTCAAGTGGTTCTCTAATCAAGTCTTTCACAAGAACACTGTCATCAATATATTTAGCTCAAGTTTTCAAGTCTTAAGATTCAAGGACAATGTATTTAACACTGAACTACTGGCATTGAACTGTTCACGTTGTTTTAATTAATATTGTGTAGTGTGGTAGTTTTGTTTTGATATTTAACGCACTTATTACCCATTTATATTATTATTATTATTATCATTATCATTATGCCGCTTTCTTGGCACATTCATGGCCGATTTAGCCCATCTCAATGGCTCATTGATGTGCGTAAATGTCCGACCATTTCTCCCAATGGTCTGATAGGGGGACTATTATAATGTTTAGTTCTCTTTTCATTTAATAGTTCACTTGTTTGTTTGACTTATGGCAATATCTCTGTATAATGGCCAGCTAGTAAAGTCATCGTACTAAAATTTCTTTTTAAGACCCTCCAACATTTAAATTTTGTGATATTTGAGTGCTGCCTATCAGGCGTGTTTCCTGTCGTAAAATTCTCCATCGAATTTTCAGCCTGTTAACGACACAACAATTGAAGACGACGATGACGACGACGATGAAAAACTACACAGCATCTTTTCCCCTGTCCTGCAAGAAAGGATAGAAGGGGCGTTCTGGCGGCAGCGGGTGGAGCCAGAGCGCCCAGGAGAACTTGACTATTAATAAACAACAAAGACCACACACTCCTTTGAAGCCGGTACTAACAGTAAAGTTTGCACTAGGTTATTCAGTTGATAACTTGAGCAACCTAATGAACAACTGTCTCCAAAATCTGTGAATAAATTCCTGCTTTGTCTAAATCAGTGTCCCTAACAGGCAAGTTATGTGAAATTTCGAGTTAAAAAGGGGATTTTTAAAAAAGCTCTTGACCTCAGGTGCGCTGGGGTGCCTTGTGTTTGTATTGCTAACGCGGTCATGTGCCAATGTTCGCGGCCGGCGATGTCTTCAAAATGTTGGTGTTTTATTCAGCCTTAGTACGTTAGTCACTTATGTAGGTATTTTATTCGGACTTAGTACGTAAGTACGTTTAGTACGGCAATGTTCTATGTATGTGGGTATTTTTTCGGTCTTAGTACGTTAGTATGCTTAGTACAGCCATATTCTATGTATGTTGGTATTTTAACGTTAGTACGCTTAGTACGGCCATGTTCTATGTATTTTGGTATTTTATTCAGTCTTAGTACTTTAGTACGCCTAGTACGGCCGTGTTCTATGCATGTCTGTATTTTATTCGGTCTTAGTACGTTAGGACGCTTAGTACGGCCATGTTCTATGTATGTTGGTATTTTTTTTTCAGTCTTGGTACGTTAGTACACTTAGCACGGCAATGTTTTCCTGCAATTACTATTTTTTTCGGTCTTAGTACGTTAGTACACTTAGTACGGCCTTGTTCTATGTATGTTAGTATTTTTTTGGTCTTGGTACGTTAGTACGCTTAGTACGGCCATGTTCTATGTATGTTGGTATTTTTTCGGTCTTGGTACGTTAGTACGCTTAGTACGGCCGTTTTCTATGCATGTTGGTATTTTATTCGGTCTTAGTACACTTAGTACGGCCGTGTTCTCATGTATGCTGGTATTTTTTTCAGTCTTAGTACGTTAGTACGCTTAGTACGGCCATGTTCTATGCATGTTGGTATTTCATTCGGCCTTAGTACGCTTAGTACAGCCAATTGTTCCATTTTGATCGGCATGCACGCATGGCTTTCTTCAGCTTTACCACAAAGCACAGCATGTAACAAAGACAGCTGATATAACACTCAGTGACTAAGGGAATAAAACAGGCCCCCTTCACACCTAACCTTCGGGAGTAGTAAGTAAAGACATCAGAATCCAGTATACACAAAATAAACTAACAAAGAACTAACTAAATTCTAAGTACACTTGTCCGGCATACTAAGCTAAAAAATTCAAAAGAGGTGCCTAGAATGGGCAGCATATGAAATCTATTTGTAGGTCACACATGCTGAAAACTTTGGCCTTTGACTAGGTCATCAATGACTGGAAGTGGATAATGGCGACACTTGTATTGTTGAGCTGTTTTACGCCGATGTATACTTTTAACTTTAAGATTGGGCTTCTTAACAACCACTAAGCTTGACACCCAGTCTGTTGGCATACCAACTGGTTTAACCCCTTGAGTGCCAATACCATTGTGTATGCTGTGTGCCACACCATTTTCACTGTAAATGGTTGTCTCAAAAGAAACATCAAATCCCATGAGGATTTTGTCTGTAGGTACAAACATGTATACATTTTCTCAAAGGCCATTTAAATGTCTTTTTAACAAGATTAATTTTGATGAGTTTGACATGATGTGATACCCTTATGACATCACAACCATGAGAAAATTAGCATTTTTAAACATTTCTTTAAACAAAAACAATGCACAAGTAAGTCTCTCAGCAGTTAAAATTGTGTGAAACTGATACATAATTTTTGGATAACATTTTTAAATATATCCAAAAATATTGCAAACAATGATGATGTAAGTACATAACAAAGTTGATATGTTCAAGTTGTTTTCACTGTCAACTGGTAACCGTATGAAGTACAGATACGTATAATACACTGTACACAATAAAATAAAGTTTTCTAACAGCAGTTTTTTACACTGTGTCCTCAAGGAGGTGTGTTGTTTTTGTCTTTTTAAGTGTCAGCCCAATACACAAACTTTGTGTGATACATTTTGAAGGAAAAGTAATAACATAGGCCAGGTTTGCGTGGGCAGTAGTAGCAGGATTCTTTCTTGATATTCTTCTTGTAGCAGTCTCTGCACCTCTTCTCACCTCTTCTTTGCATTTCTCTTCCCTGCTGTTGGTGGAATTCGGTCCACAAAATGTCTTTCTGTAAGTCTCACAACATTTTCCTCTCTTGGAATGTGAAAGTGGTTGTCGTTGTCTCTACCGAAAACAAGGACAGCAATGACATCACGTTGAAATTGCAAGAAATGCTTTTAGCCACCATTTTTCTTAAATCTAGGAAACATTTCAGAAACTTAAGGGATTCTCTTGCTATTTCATATGGCTGTAAGAGCTGATTTGTACATTCTACCCCACCCGTGTATTTATTGTAGTTGGCAATGCATTTCGGGTTTTTCATGGCCAGCATTTCTTCCTGGAGTCATTTCCTCATTGTGAATTGTTGTGAACATTGGCACCTCTCTCTTGTCTTTGAAATTCATAGCAAGAAGTTCACTGCTTCTGTGAGCAATAACCTCACCTGTCTTCAATTTTGCTTGTTTCACTGGTTCTGGATAACCCTGGTGATTACTGCAAATTGTTCCACATGCCAGTGTGCTGTGTTCAAAGAGATATTTGAAGAGTGTTACAATTGTGTACCCGTTATCAACATATAAATGGTAGCCTTTGTCAAGCAAAGGTTGGATGAGGTCAGCAACAACTTCTCTGAGACTGAAAATACACCTTGCGGCGGAGGAACATCGTCTTTGCCAGTGTAAATTTTGAATTTGTAGGTATAGCCACTGTCCTCGCATAACATGTAGCATTTTATTACAAATCTCGATCTCTTTTGGTATCTACTGTTAAAAAGCAAGGCGTCCTTGCCACAAAAGTAGAGATGCAGGCGGTCCCCCTGTAGGGGGGTCCGGGGGCATTCTCCCCCGGAGAATTTTGAAATTTCAAGTCCTCGGAAACGCGATTTCCGCCATTCTGAGGCAAAGTCAGCGTGTTTTTACATCTCATTTTTTAAAGTTAAAATGCCATTCTTTTTGCTTCAAAATATAACAAAGCTGAGTGGAAAAGATGCAAATTTGCATTTATAAAACTATGATAAAAATATACTGCATTTTATCTTTTTCCAATTTTGTGTTTCGTCGAAGACAGGATCAACAAGAAGCATAATTCGGGGGTATCTTTCCGCAAAAAGCTGAACCACAGCATCGTAGTCAACGGGCTTTTTGTAGTGAATGCTCCTCAGAGCCAAGCCTGACAGTCTTTCCGTTGTCATGGTGGTGTGTAAATATTCTTTGACAAGCTTCAAAGTATTGTTTGCTCGCTTGTTGTTGAAGTGAGTTAGGCTTGGTTACTTCTGATTTCCATTTTCTTGACCACCTGTCATATTTAATGTCTAGGGTCCAGGGACTTGGAAGATCTGACTGGTACATCTCCGACATCTCTTCAATGTTTGTATTTTCTTGTGTAACGATTATGCTTGGTACAAGGCCAAGTAACTGGACAGCAGTCTTCTTAGTAGGACCAAATCTAAAAATTTAAACAGTTGCACTAGTCACCACACACATGTCTGGTTTGCACCTTCTAATGTGCATATAATGAAAGTTAGGATGCTATTTTAAATTATCAATTGACCAAGATAAGAATTTAGTATTAAGAACTATCAAGAGGAGTGTTATCGTGAATGTGTGTAACTTTAAACTGACAAGGCAAATACAAGCTAATACAATATATTGTATATTTAAAATGTTTACCTTGATGACATCTCTTCCGGGATATGGTCAAGGAAAGGAACGAATAAGGTCCGACGGTAATATTCTTCTGGGGAGTCATGGTAGGTGCACACTCTGTGCCGCTGTCTCAAGGCCGTTCTTGGGACGCTCGGCTTGGTACCTAGGTCTGAGCCAAGGTCTATTGCATTTGCATACCATGCCTTAAATACGGTGTTGGCATTGATTCTCATTTGCCTTAACTCTTTTTCCATTTCCGCTATCATGTTATACGCTTTCACAATGTCATTAGACTTCTGAAGCTTAATGCTAACTGGCTTGATGACTGTCAGAGTTTCATCCCGACTATCAGCGAAATGAGAAACTGAAACGAGCAACATGTGTGATAGCGGCCATTTGCCTTCTGAACAGTCTCTCTTTCCCAGCTCCAGGGCGTTTCCAAACTATACTGTTGGTGGTGCTGCTCATCCAAAATAACCTCAAATGTTTTTACGATTGATGGCAGTAGTAGGGCAAATGTTTCGTATGCCTCATGGCACTCAACCCAACGTGTACGACAGAGGTCACGGATCTTGCTTCGGGGGGAATCTGGCTGATCCATGCTTATTACAGTTTCTAAGCACCTTTGCTGCTTTGGGGAGTAGTTGAAAAAAAATTGCAATCTCTGTTATAGTGCCAGCCATGTTGCGAATTGTTGGCTGGCTATATGCTTTGACTATAACTAGATTCAGAACGTGTGAATTGCAATGCACATATAAAGCCTTTGGATTTTTTTGGGAAATTAACCCTTGCATTCCACGTACTTGGGATGACATGTTAGAAGCACTGTCATAGCCTTGACCCCGGCAGTCATTGATTTTCAGACCCCACTGTTCAAGCTTGCCCAAGATTAGGCCGGAAATAACTTCCCCGGTTATCCAGTCAGTACACTGGGAGTCAATAAATTCTTCACGAATTTGACAATCTTTGTCTACAAACCTCAAAACAAACGACAACTGTTCAAGATTTGCATTGTCAGTAACTTCATTGCAAAGAAGCGAGAAAATCTTTGCTTCCTTGATCTCCTGAACAATAGATTCTCTTATGTATTCCCCAATCAGACTGATAATTTGATTTTGTATTGTCTTACTAGAGCATCTGGCATTTGCATGGCAAGTTTCATGATTTTTTTAATGGCTCATCACCGGCGTCAATGTGGACTTCCAACAAGGCAAGAAAGTTTCCCTTATTTGATCTTTCATCGGCGCAGCTGTCATCTCTGTGCCCTCTTAGGGCAATGGACTGTTTTCCACAAAAGTGGACGCACTTTACAACACTTTTCATTATTTCCCTGTTTCGTGATATGGTGTTCCTCCGTTCGCTTTCAATTTGCGCTTGAATGTTTTTTTTCAGGGCTCCGACTGGTGGAGAGAAAATTTTCGTAAGCCACCATAGCATCAACATGGTAACGGAGTTTCTCGTGCTTACCGCACACAGAACCTAACTTTGTCCACCGACTGAATGGGGTATTTACTAAAGCACCTACTTTTTCACGTGTGGAAAAGAAAATGCATGGCAGACAGAAACAACCCTCACATTCGTTGCTGTAAACAAGCCATGAATACTTTTCCAGCCAGCTCCTTTAAAAATAGCGATTGCAGCCATTCATAAGAACTTTAGGGAAGGCAGATTTCTTTCCTGGTTTATAATGGTTGTTTAGGACATTAAGCTTCTCAGCTTGGCTCAAGGACTTAATGGCTATTGTCTGGCGTAAAAGAGCACCCACATCAATTTCACGTGCTTGACTTAATAATGTATTACCATCCCTATCAGTCACCAATACTGAAATAGAAACAAATTTGCAATGTACAATGTGCTTATATTCTGGGTTATTTAATATAGCAGCTGACTAAGCCATGAATAATATAATCAGCTTTTTTTCAAATTGCACATTTCAGTACAGTTCTTCTTCCTCCTCATACAAAAAGCTTATGGGATCCCCAAATTTGACATGCTTAAAATGACTGAGGTCTGCCCAAAGATCGAATGGACCCCAGCTAGGAGAAAAAGAAAAAAATTCCAATTGTTCCACTGATATTTGTCCACAGTCACTGGCATCTACAACTTGAACTTCAGAGAGGGACTTGAGTATACCAGTCAAGGACTTTCCATCAACTTCAGGGCTCGAACTTAACTTTTTAGTCCACTAGCAAAGTTTTGCTAGTAAGATTTTTCTTTACTAGCAAAAGTAGGAATCTCACTAGCTATATTTCAATGCAGCCATTTTCCCTTTGAGGACTAAACCAATGTAAAGATTAATTTCAGCGATCTGAAAATTAAAAATAAATTGAAAAAAATGTGTATCAAAGCGTTAATTTTGTGGTCTCCTTTGCCGCTGTCCTGACATCCACCACCTATTTACTGCAGCCCTTGGGTGATAATCAGCTTGTTTCTTTGGCCCCTCAATTTTTACTCTCATCAGCATGTCCATGGTATCGTTCCCCAGTGTACAACGCCAGTCTGACTTGACCCTTTTCATTGTGGAAAATCCTCGTTCACATGAGGCATTAGCCAAGGGATATACTGATGTTAAATGGATAACCTTCATGATGTTGGAATAGTTATTCCTTTCTACATCCTCCTGGCTGATTCTCTGCCATAGACTCAGTGGGTGTAAAAATCGAGGTCGAGGGCCTCTTAAAAAATGCGGTTATTTTAGACATATCTTCAAACAAAAGCTGAAAACCTCACAAAGATGAAAATCACCAAATCAACTCTGTGCTCACCCACGAAGAACGCAAACGCGCAGCTAAATTGAGCATAGGTTATACATAAAACCGCTGACCAGTGACTGACATGAAACCTGCATTCTTTCTCGTAATACTCAATGTTTTCGTGGTTTTTTGCCACAAAATTCTCCAACAGCGTTTATTTTTTTAATCGAAATTCTACTGGAAAAATACCGGTACTCGCAAATGTTTGCTAGAGGATATTTTTTAGACTCGCAACTTCAAAAAACCACTCGCATTTCGCGAGTTTGCGAGTGCTAATTTCGAGCCCTGAACTTGAAAGCAATTTGGCATTCATAAGACTTATTTGTCCACAGTCACTGGCATCTACAACTTTAACTTCAGAGAGGGACTTGAGTATACCAGTCAAGGACTTTCCATCAACTTGAAAGCAATTTGGCATTCATAAGACTTCCAACGTTTCCTTCATAAGAAGGTACATTACCATACTGTCTGCAGCGATATTCTGACAACCTGTTATGTCAAGGCACTTTAAAAAGGGCATATGTCCTATAAAATGCAAAGAAAAGACGTACATGGTTTGTCGTTTAGGCTACATTCGAACACTTAAACACACAAGCATTTACATACGTATGTAACAAACTATTAATAGTAACATGTAAACGAATATGTTTCTGATTATTTACCTGTAGGCGACAGTAAACCATTCCTTCTGTTGGACTTTACACGATCTCAGTTTACACATTTTCACAAAGATAACTATCATGTGGAATAAATTGCAGTTGAGCGTATGAATCTTCAAGTTATAAGATAAAAGCCGATAATTCTGATTACCGTGTCTATTGTCTTTTTATGAAAAAAAAAAAAAAGAATAGGATTTAGATGACCGAATGTTATTCTTAGCGAAAGCGAGCAAAAGCAAGCGAAAGCACGCTAACTTACTATTTGTAACAGGACAGTCCGCGTGATGCATTGTTGCTTGAAGGCTCAAATCCTTACAGTCATTAGACAAGCAGTCACTAGAACATCGAAAACGGAGAAAGAAGAACATGCTATGGAATTTACAGAAAACGCAAGTGCGGATGAAATAGTTGACAGTGTAAAGAAATTCCTTGAAAGTGGTTGCAAATGCTCACGTGGTCCGAAGGATGGCCCCTGCTCATCGCAGTTTATGGGAGAAGAAGTCATGGCAAATTTAAACAACTGCCTCGAACTGTCCACCAAAGAACTTGACCTAGTCATCTTAGCAAACATACAAGCTGAAACCCGTTTTGAAAATATCGGAGAGAAAAGGAGCAGAAGCCCTCGCTGTAATTTCCTCTTCCAGTCACAGCCGATTTGTTGAGAAATGTTTCTTATGCTCTATGGTTTAAGCTTCTCCTGCTTTCGCCGGCTGAAGGAACATTAAAAGAGCAATGGCCTTTCATCTGGAACCCATGGAAACACAAAGCAGCTTCCCCCGAACACTTTTTCTCACACTGTGGTAGATGTCAATGCTTTCTTTTCAAACTATGTGGAGGACCACGCAGTATCACTTCCTGGGAGGATTCCAGGGTATAAAGACAAATATGCAGCCTTGGAATATCAAACTTCGAAACGAAATGTTCAAAAATTAGAGCCAATGGGTACAAGTAGTTTTCATAGTAGTTTGATCTGAACTTTTTGGGTTTTACTTAGTAAAACAATAGGAAGATAAAAACCCACTGGTTCGAAAACTATAGGAATAAAAAATATAGCTCACCACACTGTACGCACGTGAATATCATTTGTACTTAGATTTACAAATGTCTTAAAACTTGTGCTAAAACACAAATGAAAACAATGTCAAAACTTGGCATCCCCTACTACAAATGGCAACGATTTTTATTCCACAACCAGCTCTCTCACCAACAACAAAGGTGAGCCTAGACCCTTTCCCTGAAAGTCCCTGTAATTAAGGAAAGCTGTTTTATGTAAAAATGTAACACGTTTGCTTGTACTTAGAACATTCATACGGGGAATTAATAATTGCGTGGGCTGGCAAAGCACGTACAAAAGGCGTTGATTAAGTGAGGACTAAACATTGTTGTAACTCTTTGGGAGAAATGTTCCTTTTTTTAACCATACTGAAAGGAGGTCTAGAAGTTCGTGCAAGCGAAAATCCGGATCAGGTAAAGTCATAGTGAGTGTGTTCACGTGCACGACCAAACAAGTCATTTCGTGAGTGGGAGGGGTGTCTTAATCAGGCGATGATCGTTATCCAAGCTCTGTAAATAACTGAGCCATGCAAGCAAACGAGTCAACAGCATTCTCAGAAGTGTCAGTGCCATAAAAGTCGTCAATATGGATGTCAACAAGAATTCCCTGTTGACTAAGGATACACAGGATGGCTCTT